ATCCCAGCTTCGTTGGGCCAGGTTGGATGTGACAGGCCTGGCCCCCCTGCATTCAAAACTCATAGTTACAGAGGTGGAACCCTTAGATACAGGGGGTGACACACACACACACACACCGAGAACTCAGCAAACATGTTCATCTCCCACAAACGTGAGCCAGCAACCGCAGGGACTCCGGGCTGCTCCTGCACAAACTGCTCCACAAAGTTGAGGAACTTCTCATCTGTGAGCCTCGGGAGGCCGTGGAGGCCCGGCCTTGCAGTGGCCTCCACACGCCCGGGCCGCGAACGTGCAGCCCTGGCGGCTCCCCCCAAACCCAACCGAATCCCGTCTCGCTCCCCGTCTCGCGCGGTGCTTGTTCCTCGGTTGTAAAGACCGGTGGAGGAGATTCGTCGACGTAACATCGAAGGAGCCCACGCAGTTGAAAAGTGGCTTTGGAATCAAAAAGCGGGTACCCTGGAAGTCCAAGACTTGTGACCTGGAAGTCCAAGACTTGTCCTTACCTTGAGTGGTGCCAAGTAGAGTCTTCGGACTTTGGTCTCAAAGCCAAAACGGTCACTTGTTGTCTCCGAGTTTTGGGGTGAAGATGGTGAAGACCTTCAGATGTACAGAATACATCGGTGTGATGCACAAATTGAATCTCAGTGATTTGTTTCATTGTTTTGGGGGTCACATTTAGAAGATTGACCAGTGCCAACACGGGCGACCGTTCAATAGCAGAAAGCAATGACTGTGGCCATGCAGTGTCCCTCGGCTGTCTGAATAGAAAAAGCATCGGGCGCAACATACCCCCCTTTCGCTAGATCTTTACCTTGAAACTGGTCTATATATAGGAATCCCAAAACCAATGCAACAGTGAATCCCCGATGATGACACCAAGTATTGGACATCATTGCTTCTGTCGATCTCTGCGCGTCACTGGATCCGTTTTCACCCCCACCTGTCCACCAAGTCTATGAACTGCTCATCATCCATGGCATGGCATCATGGCACACGAGAAGAGGTGCAATTTTTGGATTCGCATTGCAAAGTACTCGAGGGCATCTGTTTTTGAATAGGGGGACACTACAACGACTTCAGATACAGATGTCAACATGTTGAATCAACATCAATGTATTAGTATTCGATTTGCATGGACCACTCTGTGCTATAATTGAACGGGATGTGTAGTGTATTCCAGCTGAGGTGATGTTTGAACCTATCGTTGTTGGTTCTAAGCTGCACAATTCCGCACAGCACTACTGCGAGCTGTGGGCAATCTGTTCTGCATCACCAAGTTCGGCTCATGGAAAAGACACGGTTGATACTAAACATGGATAAACATAGAACGTCACGTACCCAGACCATCCATGTATGGGATGTATGCCTACACTGACCCTTCAGGTAGGCAATCTTTCATACACATGGATTGTCTGGGAACACTACAACATACTACAACTACAGGCACCTGCAACAGAAAACAAATCAACAAGTCATGCAAGTCCGTTGCCATATTGCCAGAACTATTGAAACATATGTTCAATGTCACAGGGTAATAATAGGGTCACAGAGGCAAACATCTGCGCCTCACATAGTGGCCCCGGCAAGCCATTTCTTTCACAGTCGACGGGTGAAAACGGTTGCAACAAGCCCGGAATAGGTTGGGATCCAACACTCTGAGTGTCTGGCTGCTTGAAACATGCACATGCCAGCAAAGCACTGCCTGATAACCAAGAGATCTCGGCCATGTGAGAAACAGTTTGCAATAGCGAGTCACAATATATAGGACATTCATGGAAATTCCAGCGACTGTGTATTTGTGTATCAACAAATTCAATAATAGCATCGCCCCGGCCCATATGGTCTTCCTTTCTCCTTGTCTGGTCACGAACTCTCGACCATGTTCAGGAGTCCGGGGTCTCCTGTCTGGCCATTTTTGCGGGCAGTGGAACATGCTGCACAACTGGACACCCGAACACAACATGCGCAGACCAAGATGATCACACACAACCTTCGGTGCAGTTTCAGGCATATGCCGCCAGCCAAGAGCTCGCCGTTGCTTTTGTTTCTTCCAGCGAAGCGAAGCCCGTCGACTCAGCTTGGGGAAGAGCCTGGAGAGAGCGCTGGAAGCGCGCGAACGGACCGAGAAGCGAGCGCTCCGACGAAGAAGTGACGGACGAAGCGCACAGTCGACAGCTGATGTCCACAAGAAGTGGCCACGGTTCTTTCATGGGTTCTTTCAGGGCTGTCGACATCTGTGACGTTTTCTTTTTATGTTGTTGTTGTTGTTGTTGTTGTTGGTCTCTGCAGGTGTCAGGTAACAGATGTGGGTGTACCATCTGTAGCATGGTGGTGGTGGAAAACAAACATGCGTGCGACCGTAGAGGAATTCCTGTTCTAAGAATAGCAACCACCTTCTCCAGTTTGGATGGAAGGGTTCTCTGGCAGGAAGCTTGAGCTTATATAGTTCGGTGTTTCACGTTGTTTCCAGGTGGTGTTGTTCGGAGTCTTTCTACACCGACTGCCGAGGGTCCCGAGCCGCCAAACCCCAGAAAAAGACAAGCCGCCTGTTTGTTTGGAGTGCTCCTAGTAGTGTCCGATCATTCCCTAGTAGTATACCGCCAGGAGCCCCGTTCGTAGCGTCCTTTGCTCCGTTCGTAGCGAGGCCAGGAGCCCCGTTCGTAGCGATGCCCTTGCTCTTCCCGGTCTCCTCCAATGTCCCCCACAAGAAGGTGACCTCTCCCACTTCTCCCGACAGGTAGGCCCAGGTAGGCAGTCTTCTCTCCATCTGGAAATCGAGACCTCATCATATCATATGGGTCTTTTTCACCTCATGACGTCTTGTTGGATGTTGGATGATGTTGGATCATTTGAGGTCTTATAACTGAGGGCTCCTGGGTCAACAGGAGATTGGGGACAGAAGGATTGGGATTCATCTCCCAAATCCCCTTTCAACGCCTGCTTACCACTTCTTTCCCAATCTCCTTAGTTGTGGGATTGGGGTGTCCCCAAATCCAAAAATGAACTGAACCGCCTGCACCGAGACTCGCCGAGTCTCGCCTCGGATACTCGACAGCACGTCCAGCCCAGCGGCAGCGTACTTCATCGCACCTGGGTGGAGGCTTGAAGGGTTTGACGGAGCCACGAAAGCAGCAAGAGGTGTACAAAATGACATTCTCAACCAAACTTGCCAATGAGGTTGTTTCAAGTGATTGAGTTGGTCTGTTCTTGTACAGTACAGGATGTACAGGTTTGCTCAGGTCTAGGCCCTAGGCGTTCCTGTCCTCTGAAAGGACAGAGACATGGACGTGGGAAGCTTAGCTTTCGGTTCGGGAGGTGAACCCGCCACCTGCGACCTGCCCTGCGACTGTGATGGAACCTGGTGAAACCACCATCCCAAACCGTCCATGGGACTGGAAAAACAACTAAAATGTTGGTCTATCCCATTGCCACTGCGACAACCGTGGAAGTTCCGCTAAACGGGTTACTAGAAGCCGAGCTGCTCTAAAACAAGGATCATCATTGACCGACTGTTGCAGTGATGGGACAAACCCTAATGAAAATAGTTATATACAGTATATATATATATATATGGTCACGCCCCCCCCAGAACCAACCTTTTAACAAAAACACTGGTATTTCCCATATAAAATGCTCATTTTCAGTCTATTTTTTTGAAGCTTTTTTTTGATCAAAAATTTCAGAAGCAAAAAAGGAAACACAACAAATGTAAAAAAACAAAACAATTGAATCAAAAAACCAAAAAAACAAAAACAAACATCGAGTTTTGGTTTTTGGTTTCTCAGAAAATCAAAAACCAAAAAAAGAAACAAACCCAACAGGCCAGACCCAAAACCAAAAACCAAAATTTTGGTTTTGTTTTTTTTTTTCAGAAAACCAAAAACCAAAAAACCAAAAAAATCAGACCCAACAAGGAAAACCGAAAACCAAAATTTGGGTTTTGGTTTTTGTTTTTTCAGAAAACCAAAGACCAAAATTTGGTTTTTGGTTTTTGGTTTTTCAGAGAACCAAAAACCCAAAAAACAAAAAAAACATGCCCCTTTTGGTTTTGGTCTGGCCTGTTGGTTCTGGGGGGGGGCGTGAACATATATATATATATCAATTATTCATTTGACCCTGGGACCGGGAATGGTGACTTGTTTCACTGACTCCCGAGCCCTTTCGATCCCAAAATCAAGGGCGAAGCCAACTGTCCACCTGTTCATCTTTAGTCGGGTGTCCCCAATCCCCCCAATCCGAAGCTGTTGAACCCGGAGCCCTCAGGGTCGGCCGTACTCAATGTACTCAGGAATCATCGTGGAAGTGGACCAATGGCCGGATGACCCCCTTTCCGAAGACCAGGAATGAATGGATGTTCCACTCCCAGAGGTCCTTCTTCATGCGCTTTCCATGGCAATTCTGGCAAGCTCACTTGCCTCAAGCCCAGTTTTCATCCCCCCCCTGCAGGATCCCCATGGCCCATGGAGGAAGGATCGCACCGAGGGTCGTGGCACCGGGACCCAAGGGCCTATAGGGGCTTCGAGGGGCCCCTTGACCTCGATTGACCTCGGCTACACAGCGCCTGAAATCATGGTGACGTGACATGGAGTGAAGACCACCTGTTTGATCTTCGGATTTCATGGAAAACGGGCCATGTTGAAACGTCCACCACGAAGGAATCAGGGAGTGTATATAGAATAGATATTCATAGATACCCCTTGAAACAAGGCATTGGCACAACTCCTTCGGGCCACTGAACGGACTGCGGCCTGGGCATCCCTCACAGGAGACCTTTTGGAAGGGCTGTGGCTCCTCAGCCTTGCCTCGCCGGACCGGAAAAGCACTCTCTCGTCTCGGCCCAAGGAGGTGGAGAACGCCGCGAGCTGAAAAAGTCTAAAGACTTCAAGCGCCGACAAGGTGTTTTTCCATGTGTTTTCAAGCTTGCCATGACCCACAGCCATACTATAGACTCACACATTGACTCCCTCAGTTTCGGCCAAGCGAAAAAACACATGGCCAGGAGTCACACGTCTTTGGCATGCCGGTCCTGAACGGAAGAGGAGTACAGGTGCCCTCTCCACACCAATCCCCACGGCCCGAGACGATGGGACGAGCCACACCACCCAGGCCCTGGTCGGCTCAGAAGGAACATGCATTCGATCACGAGGTGCCGATCTGGGGGGTGAACTTGGGGGTGGGAAAAGGGGGGACTCGAGCCCCCCTAATAAAAAAAACATTGAGAGGCACAAGAAAAAAAACAGTCATAGTCTGTTTGGGTCGCAGAATGGCTAGTTGGAGGCCTCAGTCCATACAACATCCGCAATCCATCCACTAGAGCCGCTAAAGAAAGACAAATTATCCCAAACATTCCCAGACCATCCATGTATGACACTATGTATGACATATTTACCTACATTGGGGTGGTTTGGGGAACATTTTTGTGTACATTCCATAGACATGGATGGTCTGGGTATAGGTGAATACGTCCACGATCTACAGGTCCCCCACCCTAAGAGCTGCTGGAGGCTCTTCCAACTACTGGTCCAAGACTAAGGCTCAAAGAGCAACCATTCGATGTGTTTCTTACTCTCTCACAGGCCAAGCATTGTCAGCTGTCCCCCCAAAAAAACAACGACGGTCCCAATTAGTGGATTTAGAGGTAAAATTTGTTATCTGTATTATTTTCATATAAACTGTGTTAGTAAATTGAGGAATTATTCTTTGTTTACACTCTAGCAGGTTCCCCCAGCTTTTGGCCCTGGAATCCAGCGACATCGATATCAGTCAGGGCTCCCCACACGCCAGTAGCTCGGCCAGAAAGGGCACCGGGCGGTGTGCAGGGAGGCCTCAGGTGGGCTCGCACCGTCTCCAGTATGACCTATGTTTGGGAACTCCTTCGAGTGATAAAAAGAAACAGATCATCAGAATGCAGATCACGATTACAACTGCAAGAATTCTTTTTAGGAACCGGTCTGCAACCCAGAAACCATTTCCAGACATACCAAGACCAAAAGAAACTGCCCGAGTTGCCCAGGATCTGTCCTCTGGCCCACAACCGCGAGATGCGGACCGAGGCGACCGATAGTGATCGTGACCGAGATCGACATGCGCCACACATGAATGAAACACACAGGGGTTAGGAGTAGAGAATCAGAGAACAACAAACAATCGTGTTCAATCAATCAATCAATCAATCAAGCAATGGGATTCAACATGTTTCAACCCAAAGTCCAAGGGGGTTTTGCCCACGACTACTTTGACATCTTTGCACCTGGTTGGACGTGCTGGAACAACAAACCGAGGCCATCTGGCAGAAATCAACATGTTGAGTGATGATCCAACATGTTGAGTGATGATCCAACAAAACATAATATCAACAAACAACAACTACAGTACATAAAATCGAATTCTATTGAACAATCAAACTCAAACACCCTGTACCAACACACGGACAATCTACAGGGCCTGGCCTGGCGAGATTACTTGAATTCAAGTAATTCGCCACCGCGCAAGCGGCATGCGTGTCAGCCTAATGAATGACCGAGGACCTCGGGGTCACACATCATTGGACCTTCTAGGGCACTGCGCTCATTGGACCTTTTTGGACCTAACCTCTGGCACGGCTCGGCAGTTCGCACGGCGAGCCGTTCGCACGTTTGATGAACAGAAAAATGACGAAACATGTCGTCTACGGATGCGCTGTTCCGGATGCGAGATACAAGCTGTTTGCCGTTGGCCAAAACCACTGATTCAAGTGATTGCTGCATCTCAGGATGTCCATCGACTGTATCTCGCATGCATTTCAGTACTCATACGGGATATTCCAACAGACCTTTGATCGACAAATAGTTCACCTTGGCTCGCAATGCGCAGTTGATCACCATGGGTTTGGTGACACCCATCGATCGGAACACATGTTTTTTTCCAAACGGGTGATGTGCCGTGTGCATGTTCTAAGGAGGGTTGGTCACTAGGATCGAGAAAAGATGAACAGGTGAAGAGGCCATTCCCAAGGGCGCTATTTACGGTGCTCGGCCTTACACACTGTGGATTGCTGCAAGGCTTTGCTGCTATTCTCATGGAGGGATGTGGGAAAACCGAGTCTCTACAAGATGCCACGCACAAGGGCACTTGGGGACAGGGACACACTCTACACAGGGGATAGATAAAGAAAAAGAGATAATACTAAACTAAAAAAGTTATTATAGTGGGAAAACGCAGCTGAACAACAAGTACAGCACGGGCGCCTGTTTTCCAACTTGAGCCAAATGTTTCGAGTCGTAATCCTATAAAGCTGTCGTGACGAATGTACTCTTTACATGTTGTACATGTATCAATCAACTCCCCCCTCTTTCGGAGGTGACAGCTTATCAAGTCATGATAGGAAGGAAAATCACCTACTCGGCCTGATGCACAAGAGTTGCAAGACGCGTTCCCAATCTATGGGTGGATTGACCTTAGTTAGGCCATCTGCAGCTTGGAGGTGAGTTGCAGTCAGCTCGGGCAACATTCCTTGCTCAATCGTTTCAGCAAGCGACGCTAAATTTATTCGATGCGTACGACTTGCATGTCTTAATCGAACAGAATAGCCCCGCTGCAACAATGACAAAGTTGCAGAATTGTCTTCCCGCAACCGGATCGTGATTTCGCGCTGCAGCAACAAACCCAAAAAGTCTCGCAAGGGCTGTGCTTCCCCATAAATGGCAGACGCCATTGCTATTACTTCTGCTTCTGTTGTGCTTCTGGCAACAGATGTCTGTCGCCGGGAGTTCCATATGAGAGGCCATCGTGATGAGCCTGAAATCAACATAACTATCATGCCAGATGTGCTTCGCGCAGTATGCACACACGACGCCAAATCTGCGTCTGCAAAGACATGTAATTCCGTGTCTTTAAGCGAACCAGCCTGACAGAGCATGTGATGATCCATGGTATGAAACTCGTATGACACCAACCGATGAAGATGAACATCTTCTGCCCTTGACCAGACTGTGATCCTACTGGCAAGCCTGCCTACAGCAAAACAGGCAGTGCAGCCTGCCTAGGATGTCCGCTGGGGCATCGGACTTGAGCATCTGAGGTTCTTCAACCTTGATTTTGGCCTGAAACTGTTGCCAAATTGACGTGTGCAAGTGAGCAGCTCCTGACAAAGTTAGATCGTCTACGTACACATTGAGTAATAGAGTATGACCCTGCACATGAAACACATAGTTGCTCGCGAAACCTTCTACTGGAATTCCGTGAAGTTCATGAATTCGGGCCTCTAGATACTCTTGCCATAGCCGTCCCGCTTGGGGATGTCCATAGAGCGATTTTCTTGTACAGCATGGATTCCAAATCCAGTGGGCAAAGGATGGGTGCATCATCAAGCATCCAAGACAAGGTCCAATTCCATGCTGGCTGCGGGGGGGTTGTCCCGTGATGAATCGCCGACAGGCGTTGGAAATGCTCAGAGAGTTTGAAGAGTTGGAGCGGGGTCGAGTGGACATTGAGCAGGAGGACATCGAGTGGTGGATTCAGAACATGCCAGAATTCCCCAGGGAGCTGCTGACCTACATGAAGGGCCAATCGTGGAACCCGTCAGGGGAAGAGCTGCCTTGGAACCGAAGACAGAGGAGATCTCATCAAACAGCGAAGGGTGTAGTGGTACCCCTGTTCTCGGGCGCGAACCTGACTCGCTGGAAGAAGACTCTGCCTTCAGGCTATGTGTGGCTGTTTCTGGATACGCAGCTTGGCTCTCGCTTTGATTTGCACTCACCGCCCATCTGGGGATACTTATGTTCACTGGCCAAGCAGGGTCAGATTCGAGTTGTTTTGGGTGGCCCACCGTGTCGAACGACCTCAAGGCTCCGCAACAAGGGACCGCCGGGTCCGCGAAGAGTTCGAGGGCGAGGACATGAAAGATGGGGCATCTCGCAGCTGTCAGAGCAGGAAACCCAGCTGACAGACCACGATTCTGCTTTGGTGCTTAAGCAGGCTGGCCTTTGGAAGATGTGTCAACAGAGCCCGAAGAGAAGGTTCACTACGGGATTTTTGTTGGAGAGCCCTCAAGATCCTGCAACGTACTTGGACACACCTGAAGGTCAGGAATCTCCGTCTTTCTTTGAATGGCCTCAACTACAACAGCTGTTGGAGGAGGACGAGAATATGAGAATGGTTTGCTTCGGCCAAGGAGCGACTGGTCATTGCAGGAGAAAACCCACTGGACTGTTGACCAACCTACCTATGATGGAGCAGCTGGAACACTGCAAGGGGGGAGGAGCAACTGATCCAATTTGTGGGGCGCTCAGTCAAAGAATGGCTGCATCGAGGAGCTGGTCAGAATGGTCGCCGGGCTTCGTTCGAGCCATCCAGTACTCTCTCAAGGAGATGCTCAAGGACGACGATGATCCAGTTCAGGTGGCGAAATTAGACCTGGACCAGTGGCGACGACATGTGAGGATGCAGCATGTGCCGTTCAGACGCGACTGCCGTGCTTGCATTGAAGCGATGGGCACACAACATCCCCATCGAAGATCCAAGACAGCTTCTGCGGCCTTCACGCTGGCCATTGACATCATTGGCCCGTTCACGTCGGTCAAGGACCTTGCTACTGGAAGGATGGCCCGCTATGCGTTGTTGGGAACTGTCCCAATCCCAGTTCCAGATCAACTTCCAAGTGCGCCTGAGGTGGAGACCTTGGAGGAGGAGCACATGGAGGGGGTTGAGCCGGTTGAAGGCTTAGAAGAAGAAGAAGAAGAAGAAGAAGATCAAGTCGAGGATCAAGAACACAGTCCCGGCGATGAAGAACAGGCCATGGAGGAGGATGAGGAGCCAGTGGATCCGGTGGATCTTGAGGCGATTCAAGAGCTGAAGCGACTCCACGAGCTTCAGAACCTCACGATGATAGAGATCTTGGAAGATCGAAGTGTCACTTCGCTGCTAGCGGGACTATCACGACTACATGCTCGATTTCGCTGCATGGGCATCAATTTGATGAGGCTTCACAGCGATCGAGAAAAAGGGCTGCTTTCAAGACGGGTGGCAGCCTGGTGTGGTCACAGACACATGACCCACACCTTTACACAATGACAAGGTGATGATCCCCAAAGCAACGGCAGAGCAGAGGCTGAAGTGCAACAAGTGAAGCGTCGGCTCAGGTTGATCCTTTCAATCCAAGGTGGAACCTGATCTGTGGCCTGGAGCGATTCGACATGCAGCTGAGGAACGGTGCCGGCAGCAGGTCCAGCACCTTGGTATTGCAACTCAACCAATGCATCGTTTCGGAGCTATGGTGGCAGTTCGATCCAAGAGATGGCATAAGGCTGGGCAGATTGCAAATCCCTTCGTGTCCATGCAACTGGTAGGTCCGAGCCCACTGATGACAAATGGCTGGGTGGTGAGACGAAACAACAAAGTCCAGCACGTCAGGGCTGCAATCCAACCAGTTCCCGAAGCAGATCAAGCCATCTTGGAACTGCAGGCGATTGATGCCGAGGAGGTCAAGTACAGAAGAACTGGAAAGCAACGGTTGGATCCTCATCCACTTGAAGATGCTATTCCACGGTTGTATGAGCCAGTGGAACACATGGCAAGGCCTGTCCTGGCAGCGTTGACACACTTCCGGACAGGGGGGGGGATCTCAGCCAAGGAAGACACCTTCTTTGTGCAACCTGACCCGGGCTGAATAGAAGAGGAGCCAATTCAGGAGATGAAGGAGTGTCCAGACTGTGGTCTGCTGCAGGAGCGAGGAAAAAGTCCAGAACAGGGTCTACATCGAGAAGATCGAGGAGGTTTGTGTGGGTTTTGCGGGTGTCAGGAGGTGGGATGGGGAGTGAGACAGGATGAGACACAGGTTCCGGGGGAG